ATTTANTTGAGCCTTTTTTGAGAGTTTTGTGAGGTAAGTTAGGCACTAAGCTTATGTTTTCAACAACTTGTCATCTACAAACCGATGGTCAGACTGAAGTAGTGAATAGGACCATGACGCAATTATTACGCACTGTAGTCAATAAGAACTTGAAGAGTTAGGAAGAATGTTTACTATTCATAGAGTTTGTATACAATAGGGCCACACATTCTACTACTTCATTTTCACCATTAGAAATTGTTTATGGTTTTAATCCACTAACACCTTTGGATTTAATACTCTTGTCTGTGAATGAACGAAGTAGTTTAGATGGTAAAAGAAAAGTCAATGACAATGCTTACAAATTGGATCTTTCGGGTGAGTTAATGTTTGAGCAACTTTTAATATGTCTGATCTCTCTCTTTTCGATGCAAGTGCAGATCCGAGGATGAATCCTTTTAGAGGGAGTGGATGATATGATCTAGGAGTTGAGCCCGACGAGGACAAGCCCATGACGGGATCTGTTGATTATCGAAGGAGGCCCGATAACATGTTTGAAGGCAAAATGGGTAAAAGAGGCAATGGTATTGCTTGCTCAAGCTATGGTAGACAAAGTTTCGAAATTAACAAGTCAATGAACAAGTTTCATGTTGAGTTCGGAAGAAGAAACCAAATGAATCAGTTCGATTCAAGCAGTAAACGAGCAGCATTGATGAAAACGGGCATAACTTTCAACTCGACTGTCAGATTTTAGCCCATGAGTACATTCCGAAAACGGCACGAAATTCTAAACAAGGCTATGTGGGCGTATGGTACTTTCGGGCTTGCAATTGCACAGAAACATGTCGAGAACAATTTAACGAGAACTTTAATTTTTTCGCGAATTTCCTAGAATTCTATTTTCTTTCCAATTTTACAATATTTTGTAACCTAATTACGTTTTTACTAGGTTTTCTGGCCATTAGTATAAATAGGATTTCATTATTCAATGTATGAACTTTTTCACAAATTTACTATTGAGATATATTCAAGAGGCTATATTTACTATTGAGATATATTCGAGAGGCTATTGTAATTTTCAAAAATTGTTCTTCTTAGAACATTCTGAACTTAAAAAGAGGATTCTTGTGGCGTTCATCACCGAGTGCGGATCACGTATTGTGTAATCAAGAGGTCATTCAAGTTTCGTTTTTATTTGGTTGTTTGGTTCATTAATTTTTTGTTCAAACTCAAAACCGAGATTATTCTTTGGGCTTTCTTGGGATCTTCAATCTCGTTGTAAGTTGCGTGGTGTTCATTGCTACGTGGTTCTCATCAGTTCTTGACCTACTTCAAAAATCAAATCTTTGAAAGAAAATTTTAGTTTCACTTTTATTAAAACGATTTTACTAAAAAAAATCAAATAAAAGTTAGAAAAGAAAAAGAAAGAAACCAAGTACTCCGTGGCAGAAACCATTTCGCGACCAAGTGTAGAGGCCAAGAAAATAATTTTAAAAAAAAATAAAAAAAATAATAGAACCAATCAGTTAATTGGTTTCTATGCGAAACAAACAGAAACCAACAATTGGTTAAAAAAAATCACAATCATTTGACGCAATAAAAAGAAAAAAAAAGATTTGAAAAAGAAGAAGGAGAGAGAGAGAACCTATGATGATTGGAGAATTAAAAAATCTTTTTTCTCTCTGCCTTTGTTTGCAAAATTGACATAGTTGTTTCCAAACTCATAATTTTTGTATATAAATAGGTGGATATTGAATTCTAAGCCCAACTTACCATCAATGATGTGAGACCAGTTCAAAATCAAATTAATTATCGATTTTGAATAAAAATAAATAATTAATAAATAATTAAATTTAAATTCAAGATTTATTAATTTATTTTCATTATAAATAAATAAATTTTCAGAAGGCATTTGTTGACAATAAAAAATAGAATAATTAATGAATTGGGTAGATTTAAATAATTAACCCAATTTAGTTTATTAAAGTCTAGCCCATAAAATTCAAAGGTCTATCATACTTTTTCAAAACTCACAATTACTCAATTATTCATTTTAATTAAAGATAATTGGATGGTTACCAAATTGTTTACGAATTCCCTTATAAATAGGACTAAAATTCCATAAATTTTCACATGTGAAGGTGTAGAAAAAAAATCACGAAATCCTGAAAAAAGTCCAAAACCGAAGGAAGAGAAGAAACTCTCTCAAGCCTAAGTGCAAACACCAAGAAGATCAAAATCTTCTTCATATCAAACAAGCTTTGAATCAAATCAAATTCAAGTCCAAGTCTCGAAGTGCAAATCTAAGACCTAAAGTCCAAGTGCTGGACAAATTAAGTTCTCAACAAATCTCAAAATTCAAGCCATGTGACCCTTCATCTTCAAATATTCAAATCATTTATAAGAGGATTTTGTAGTTCTGTAGTTACAAAAAGATTAACATCCACTTGTATTTCTTAAAAATACAATTTGTAACGATTTCTGTATTCTAATACACGAAATTCGTTGTCACTAACCTAAGGAATAAAATTATAGTTGAAATAAAATTTTCAAATTCATATGTTTACTATTCCAAAAATGGGTCTCAATCTCCAACTAAAAATTTGAAACTTGACTTGTGCGGATGGAAATTAATTTGTGAAAATCCTTGGATTATATTTCACTCATTTAACTTCTAAATGTATCCTATTGATCCTATATATCTAATCTTCAATAATCATTTTATGGTCCAAATTAACTATTAAATATTTACAATTTTGTCATAGAACTTTGAATTTCGTCCATTTTAGCTCATTTTTCGTTCATTTCTTCCATTTTCACTTCAATAATTGAGCTTTACCTAACAATGTAAATACACGAGATTAGACTACAATTTATTAAAAACACTGCAAAATATCCTAATTTAATTTTCTAGATAAGTGTACAAGGGGACCGATTAACATTGTCATGGAGGAACTTATATTACACCCTTTTAGATAAGCAAATAAATAAGAAAGTGTTAAAATGTAGGGTATTTTAGACAAACTTAAAACGAGTTTTTCAATTCCTTATATATTTTTAACATACAGTTTGTCCATTAATATCTTGTGTTTTATGTACAAAATGGGTTTCTTGTCAATATCAAATAATGTTAGAAATATATTGCTGCCCACTTTTTCCTCTCTTTTCCCCTGTTTTTTTTTTAAAAAACGAAATTTTATTAATAAAGCTTCACATGTGGCGGAGGAAAATCGAGATCTCTCTTTTCCTCTGTTTACTACAATCAAAATACCATAACTTGTATAAGGTGAACCCACGTGACATCATCATCTCACAGGATAAGATAACCCTCGAGGGATTTTGTTTTATATAAAGTTCATAAAAACTCATAAAGGGGTCAAAAATATTATTTAAAATAATATTTAGCTATGTTACAATTTGTACTTCTTGTGCAATAATTTTTTTTTATAGGTACTGTATTATCACATGTTGACATAATCTTGATTTATGGGGCTCAACTTGCAGGAATGTGTGGAAGTATAGGCATAAGCACTATGCTTTCACATATTCAATGAATGTAGTTGGCATTTTTCTTGCAAGTTGCGCACCCCAAATTCAAATTTGTACAGCCTAGCAATACGATGACGACATCCTTAATTTCGAAGTCAAGAAATTTATTGAAATGATAAGTTTCTTTGTGGTGATTAGGAGTGTTAAAATGTGTTCATCACTCGGTACCTAATAAAACACACGATTCAATTAGAAAACAACGTGATCCTTGTCGACCTTGGTCTAAAGACCCAAGGCCTATATATGAGCTGGCCAACATGGGAGGGAAAAAAAAAATTCTCGTGTGAAAATTTTTGTAAGAGTTTATAAGTTTGGCATTCGTCGATTTGAACCTCAAGTGGAGGTAGGTTAGATGGTACTTTTCTCATGTTAATGGTCATATCCTCACATTTTTACATTGAGTAATGTTATTCATCCCCGCTGGAATTACAAACACAATTTATGTGGTGTTAATGTGACATTATTTGTAACCCTACTGGGGAAGTCATTTAATTTTACCTTTCATTTAACATATCATTTAGAGTCATCTAGACTGTGTTTTTAACCTCACTGTGGATGAATAACGTTACTCTTTTACATTGAAATAGCAGTCGACTTCATAAACTTATATACGTCTGCCATGACCTCCACGGGACACCAAAATCTTCCCTATTTAATCAGTCGTATATTGTGAGGTGCCAAAAGTTCAATTTATTGATGCCCTGCATTGGCCACGTCCAATAATTCCATATTTATAAATGGATTTTGGCATTTTCAAATTTGTACTGTGCATCAGAATCTCAGTCTCTCCTTCAACTGTTCAGACACAACAAAATATCATCGTCGCAATAAATTAAGGAAAGACAAAATTTCTGGGGTATTTATGACAAATATCGGATTATAATATCATGACTTTTCTTATGGTTTTTTTCAAATTTGATCTATTCCACCAAAATATATATAACATCAAAACATTGGTAATTATAAATTCTGATATAAAGAAATCACGTTGAAAGAATTAACTTACATAGAATAATGACTTTCCATCTTGAGAAATTTCCAATCTCAATGTCCTTCTCCACCTGCAAGACATGAAACCATGAAAAAGATTAAATTTCATCCCATGACATGCTTATTTAAAAAGATACGCAAATAACAAATTTTTTTAAAAAAATAAAATAAAATAACACTTCAAATAAAACATTAATAACCTAAGTTTATTTACGTTATCCATTAAATCATCTCACGATATGGAACTAAGATACTGGGGAAGAAAAGAAAATCTAATTGTAACGGAAAAATAAGTGACATTAGAGCACAATATGTAAACGAATATTTTATGATAGTCTACGGAAATTGCATCGCGTTACATTAAGAATATCTAATGAAAACGATCAGAAGAAATTCAAGAAAACTCTTTGTGTTTTAGTTTGTAATTAAGTAGAAGGGGAAGAAAGAAAGAAACTCACCATCAAATTGTTCGACGCCAAAAGCTATTTCGATGGTTCCCAATTCCCATTTTGGATAAGATAAACCTGCCCATTATTGTTCCCATGCACATGACGATAAGCAAACTTAGGAATCTGTCTCACGGTGGCTCCACCCTTAAATGGCGGATATACCGGCGGTTTCGAGACATATCGAAAGCAATGCCCAGTATTCGACGTTGGACATCTTCGGGGTAAGGTGGCGGCGGTGTTGCAATAAATTGATTTGGGCGACGTAGCGCCGTTACTAGAGGATGAAGACAAGGAGGAGGACGAGGAGGCAAAGGAGGGTGCAGGCGACACTTTTTTGGTGGTTTTCGGGGTTGAAAGGAAGGCCCTGATCTTGATAGATGCGAGCGGCGCCGCCGTGATAAGATCGTATTCCTCAAAGAGATTGGCCAGATCCTCATCGGATGTGATTGATACAAGTGCATCTAGGTCTTCTGTTGGCAATTGACACCTTAAACTCGTTGAAGATGTTCCACACATCTCCTCAAGCTTCACCACCAGTTCTGTAAACACCACGCGCCACCAAAACATATACATCTCAGTCCCATGTATGTATGTACTTTTAACACAAGAATAGGTATTTTTTCATCTAGTTCAAATTTTTAGATGAGACGATTAATGTAGTATTTAAGTCGGCAAAGGACTTAGTTTAAGTATGGTGGACGCCAATTTGTGAAAAATAGTGTACTTGTGAGCAAAAAGTAAAATTTGGTGTGCCCATTAAAGGGCATATTGAAAACAACACAAAAACAGACATGTCGCTTCTCTTTAAAAGTTTCAGCCTTCACGTGAGATGGTTGACAAAATGAAAAGGAAAAGTGACTAACCAGCATAGGAAATCGAGCAATCGACGGAAAAAACACGGGTTTCTCCACCATGGTAATGGAGTTTGCCTTCGGGATAACGGGGGAGAATCTGGCCGCCGTAGCTACACAAGAACTTAATGGTGGCGGTAGGTTTGAGGGTATGAAAGGAAGGTTCTACCATGGTCTTCTTTTGGGTGGGTCTAATAAATTTGCTCTTTGGATATAAAGGAGAAAGATGGAAAAGAATAGGAAGAATATGTTTGAATCGCCCTCTTTAAGCCATGTAATGTGCCCTTCATACACTTATTTATAGAGGAGGCCAATATCAATATTAGGTCAGCTAGATAAGATTCCCACGCTTGTGGACCCCGACTCCCAAGGTTAATCTTACCCTAGACATGATGAAGTGTAATAGCATGTTGGGATACTTGGTTTTAGGATTTTGTGAATAATTTAATTTAAAATACTTTTAATTATATTCATATATTTCTATGATTTGTAAGTACTGATCACTTCTTCGCTAAACATTTATTTTGACAGAAACAAATAAGTACTTGAATTTTAATGATTCACAAGAATTAATAATTACGGGCAACAACGTATTTATCACGTAATTGTGAAGTTGTTAGTCCACTAGTGCACATCATAATCACCATCAATTATGATGAGTAATTATCAAATTCATGGAATGAAATGTTTGTCCATCCTAAGCTATAGGACGCAAATAACGTTCCATTGATTTAGAGTATTGAAAACGTTAAATTTATTTAATTTATTCAAAACTCAGTTTGATATTATAAAAGAGTCTTCGAAATAACATTTTCTTGTTATAATAAATATTAAAGTTTATATATGTATACACTTCAATTAAATTGGGAAGATTGCTTGCTTGACCGAATAAATGGTCAGCAGCCTATTTTTCTCTTAGAAAATGCAAAAATCTTTGCCAAATGATAAGCAAATTTTTTTCAATAAAAACGTGTTTATTCACTACACAATATTATAGGCGCATAAGAAATGTTCGTATTGAAAATGATGACAAATCTTAGTTCATATTCATAGTATGAATTAAATAGGACTAAACATGAAGTTTACTTCATATTGTAGAGTGGATTTCGAAATATATGAAATTTAATATTTTACACGTCCTTATGATTTTGAGTCCTTCATTTTTGTTAGTAGTGTAAAAAGAAGATTTTCTAGTAATCGTGTTCGACGCTTATATTTCGACTTGTTCTGAAATAGTTAAGGCATTTCAAGTTGTTTATTGACATAGATAAAAATGAAAAAATCGACACAAAAAATCAAGTGAAGTAAACTAACTTACGTGATTTGTTTCAATATTTTGAGTAATATTAACTAGTCTTTTTACATGAGTTTCAAGAGATTGATACGTCTCAATCTACGAAATTAGACAAATGATATGAATTAAAATTTCAACTGGGAAAACCTATAAAAAAGCATATCTCTAAGGAGAGATTTCGTTCTAAAATAGTATTAGGTGGCTGCTCCAAGGATTACTTCTCAAGTTTCCAACTAATATCCATATTAATTGTTCCCTTTCCAATAATCCAAGAATATTTTTCCATCTTGGGCCCACGGGGGTCCCACTTGAACATGCAAATTCGCCATTGTGGGACCCACTTTGTGGGGCCAATGGCGGCATATCCAAACTTGTAGCCTCAAATATTTGGGGTCTTTTTTCCCTTTTCTTTATTTTTTTCTTCATTTAGTTAAGGGGAAAGCATATCCACCTTTATCTCCTTATCCTTTTGAATATTGAAATGAATGGAGATACATGCATGGTTCTTAGACTCATCCTTCATGCATGTTGTAGCTCAATAGATACATGGGTAGAATAAATTATTCCAAGAAGAATAATGCTATTTATAGTAAGGAATACCAATAGTTATATTATGTGGTATACATATGACGATTTGTTATTTGATGCATTAATGTGGTATGTTTTTATTGCCTCATGTATCAAATAACAAGATGTCGTATGTATGCAGCGTAGAGCGACTACCGGTCTAATACGACATTGTTTTATCAAGGTTCAATATCAAGTCTTAGTTAAATATTGTTGTGAGAGTCATGCATGGCCACAAGAGTCTAAACAAGTGAAGTCTGATTAGAGATATCGATTGTTATACAACATTTATACGTTGTATTTCTTTATGACGAATCACAAACAAGGTGGATACCGCTAAAGTTTAAAAAGTTACATCGTTTTAATATTGTACTGTGATAGTTCAGCTTTATAAAGGAGGGATGGTTTAAGTGAAGTAACATCTGCGGAGTGTATTTACTAATGTCTTGGGAATATTTGCGAAACTTGATATACACGATTAAAATCCTAATCCAAAATCGCTTTTTGACTTGTCACGAATTCAACAATATTTTTTTAGTGTAGAATGTGAACCAAGTGGATAGTGTTACGCCTCGCCATCGAAGCTTCAGTCAAAATGCCACGCCGCAGTTCATGTGGAAAGAAAAGTCAACAAAGACCTTATTGGTCAAATGTAAAGAAGTCGAACAATGGCTGAAGCTCATGTGCCGAAGCACTGCCTGAATAGCTGAAGTTGTAAGCCGAAGCACTACATAAGAAATCAATAAAGGATATGTACGTCAAAGGGCTAGGGAACACCCTGAAGAAGGGAAACCCTCACATGCCATCCCGATTACTCGCCATAGACCTCACCAACCTCACAGACGAGATGGATCTATGATAGCTACCAGGTTTACTAGGGAGGTGGTCACGATGGCCGCAAATATGAGAAATAAAACCCAGCAGAACATAGTTATACATAAACTGTTGAAGAGCGTGCAGGGCCAAGGAAATGCATTTCATGACCCTTCCCAAGGAAACTACTACCCAGTTAAAGAAGAGTCCAAACCCTAATGGTTGATTACTCATATTACGCAAGCAAGGAAGCCTCCTAGGAAAGAGAAGTTGGGGTTGATACATCCACCAACTATGCCACTAACTGACCTACTGAGGTCCCATACAACTTTCCTCCTAACTATGGTCCAAAAGACATGCCCCAGAGGTCGGTAAGTATATTTGACAGGCTGAGCCCAGAGATGCCTAGAAATATGCAGGCTCAACCTCTCCTTGTACCTAGAAAAAAGGTAGTAGGAACGTTCTCGGTTTGAAAGACATGAGCCAGTTTACAACGATGTGTCTCAGAATCTCTCCCTAGAAATGAGAAGAGAGCGAAACAGGATAGGAGTCAAGCAAGGCTTTCCCAGCCACCTCCAGAAACTCAGGTTGGAGAAGATTAAGACTCATATGGTCCACAAAGGTCCTATGATATTGATGAGGATGATGACAACATACCATTTTCACAAAGGATTAGGAATGTCCCTATACTGAACCACTTCACGCTTACTAAAATTCCCAAGCATGATGGAAGAGACGACTCTGCGAAGCATCTCAATAGTTTCAAGAGTCACATGAGTCTAAGAGGAGCTATCCCTTCCATGAAGTATAGAGAGTTCTACTTAACCCTAGGTAGAGCACCTGAAGTATGGTATACCAGACTTCCGGAAGGAAGCATCCGAAGTTGGCCAGGCTTCAAGAAGACTTTCCTTAAACTCTTTGCAACCAACAAAGAGGGTGAAGGGCCAATACAGTGCTTACAGGACATGAGACAGCAACAAGATGAGTCGTTGAAAAGCTTCTTGTCTCGTTTTACTAATGAGATGACCTACTGTGTGCAAGTGATAGATGGGGAAGCTTTGACGACCCTAAATGGAGGATTGGACATGGACTCTTTCTTCTAGAAATGATAGGCATGAGATCATCAATGAAGAATTAAAAGATCACATAAATAGGGCAAGACAGCAACAAGATGAGTCGTTGAAAAGCTTCTTGTCTCGTTTTACTACTGAGATGACCTACTGTGTGCAAGTGATAGATGGGGAAGCTTTGACGACCCTAAATGGAGGATTGGACATGGACTCTTTCTTCTAGAAATGATAGGCATGAGATCATCAATGAAGAATTAAAAGATCACATAAATAGGGCGAGCTGACGACTCCGACCTCCTCAAATGTAAAGAAGAAGAGGCCTAACCTCACATTTGATGGATCTTCAGGTTGGACAGTCGACCCCCTCAATCCAGGATAGGCATTGGCCGCAGTTACTTTAAATACAATGCCTACTTTGGCTTATGAGGAAGTTAGCCCTGGTACTGAAATGTACCAAAACAAACCCCATCAACAATTTTCCTAAAAGGGAAAGGTAGGGGACGAGGCGCTGAACCTAGAAATAGGAACGAAGTGCCCATCTGTTCTACATTCCACCACTCATATAGCCACAACACTGTTGGGTGCAGAGATATTGTGATGCACTCCCATAACAATAATCAATGGAAGAATAGACACCTTCAAAAAGACACTCTTCCTAGGCAGAACCAACAGCCCAAAAATGATGAGCTGAGGCGCCCCAATAGGGACAATGCCCCTTGGATGAGAGACAATAATGGGGAGAGAACCGGGGTGGTCAAAGGAGGAGATGAAGCCCTCGCTAACACTGACCGTGAACCCATCAGAGAAATTGACACACGTTTTGGAGGTCTGTATGTTGGGGAGAGAATCCAAAAACTCCCAAAGAAACTATGCAAGGAAAGCAAAGGACCTCCCCATGGCTAGTTTTATAGTAAGCAACAACCAACCCTCCACCGAGAGAAGGGCTCAACCCATCACATTCTCCCAAGATGACTCAGTTGGTGTGTATTATCCACATTGTGATGTCCTAGTGGTGAGGGACATTGTAAGCCACAATGGCCTCAAAAGAATGCTAGCGGATAATGGAAGCTTCATAAACAACATCTTTGGAGCAACATTTGAGAAAATGGAAGTTGACCATGAGATGACCCCAATGAATTCACCTTTGTATGTCTTCACTGGCGACAACATCATCCCAAAGGGTAAAATCTCTCTAACAATAGAGGTGGACACCCCAATTGCTTATCATTTTATGGAATTTCTGGTGGTGGATAATCACTCCGCCTACCTTGGAGTTCTTGGGAGACCTGCGTTACAAGAACTATGGGCCATTACGTCCATTCACCATATATGTATGAAGTTCCCAACAGAGAATGACATCGCCACCGTCAAAGGCGGCCAAATAAGCGCAAGTGAATGCTATTCAAATTCCCTAAGGAAAGTGAAACC